GGCGGGAGGGGCCCCAGCAGACCAGGGACACGCGGAGCAAAGCCGCAGAGGCTCAGGGAGGGGGCTCCAGGCTTGAGAACGTTGGGCTCAGGTGGAAGGTTGGGGTGCTGAGCAAACCATGGGCTTGTGGATGTGAGGGTTCAGGAGTTTGGGCTGAATATGTGAGGGACTCAGGGCAAAAAGGTTGTGGGTATGATGGGCTCAGGGCACAGATTTGTGATGTGTGGATGGTGCAGGAGTTGCAGCAGAAGACTGAGGATGTGCGGCTGCAGGAGTTTGGGGATGTAAGAGGCTCAGGACAGGGGGTTCCAGTGTAAGAGGCTCAGATTCTGCGTGTGGGGGGGGGGGCCCCAGCAGACCAGGGACACCCGGAGCAAAGCCGCAGAGGCTCAGGGAGGGGGCTCCAGGCTTGAGAACGTTGGGCTCAGGTGGAAGGTTGGGGTGCTGAGCAAACCATGGGCTTGTGGATGTGAGGGTTCAGGAGTTTGGGCTGAATATGTGAGGGACTCAGGGCAAAAAGGTTGTGGGTATGATGGGCTCAGGGCACAGATTTGTGATGTGTGGATGGTGCAGGAGTTGCAGCAGAAGACTGAGGATGTGCGGCTGCAGGAGTTTGGGGATGTAAGAGGCTCAGGACAGGGGGTTCCAGTGTAAGAGGCTCAGATTTGGGGTCAGGTGGTGCAGGAGTGTTATGATGCTGCAGTGATATGGGGACTTGGCCCAACTGGGGGCTTGTTGGCCAGGCTTCATTTTTAAATGAAATATGTCAAACTCAAAAGGTTTTAGCATTGTCTTTATTTATGAGAGGGGTGAGGAACCTGTTTTGAGTCAAGGGTCACTGACCCACAGACAAGTCAGTTGGGGCCACACAAGTGAGATGCAAAAAAACCCAACAACCCTCCAAAAAAACCCAAGCCTCACTAATGTGGTCCCAAATGTGCTGGTGGGGGTAGGGGACAGAGTACTAGTGGTTGCTGGGGCTGACAGGAAGTGTCACCACATTAGCCCTAACTAGGTTAGTGAGGAAGGTCATAGTGGAGTTGGAAAAGAGGCAGAATGGAGAGGGGCTGCAGGGGTGTGTTTTACATGGCTTGAAAGGCCACAGGATTTGCTAACGCCAGTATTCAAGCCAATAGGTAGATTTCACCTCTAGTGTTTCCC